TTGAACTGCGGCATGGTATCTCAGTGAGCTGGCACTATAAATCGGCATCAGTCCGGACGAGTGAAAGCACACACACACACACACACACACACACACACACACACACACACACACACACACACACACTGAAAACAGCGCCCGAAACTATGACACCCGTATCAAATACATCACCATCGAATTACCTCTTTTTGTTTGTGTCATTTTAGCCACCATCAAACGTGCGTGTATACTTTCTTTTGCCCCTCTGTTTATATCATTATTTTAGTTAGAAACCTAGCGCTCTTATCAGTACATCTCAATACATTATCACATATTTCCGATTGATTATATAACAGTATACCAAAAGGAAATTAGAGCATATCGACAAATGGTTGTATGGTGCATCGTTGCATACCTTATCCACTACAATCCTTGACCCCAAGTCAAATATGGGATATTATATGATATGATGACGTGATATTTTTAAGTAAGGAGTGGTTTAAGATTATCGAATTCTCTTTTAGAAACACAAAACGACACTAGCACAAATGTATATAAGGAGACTTGTCTTCGGGGAAGGTAACGTACAGTTCACTGTCGAGCAGATTACGGTATAGTGGGGTCTGGGGTCTCATATTAGAACACGACAACATGGCTGTCAGACTTGACTCTCAAATGAATTTCACTTTCTATTAGTATGTCCAAGACTAAATGACCTTCGAAAACAATACCTTCCGGCCCACCATACTAAATATCCCTCCACTCTAAAATACAATCAATTAATGAAATGTTCATACAAACCCATTCTAGTAAAACTGGCTCAGTTCTGTAAAAAAGGTTTAACATTATTTACATAATTAAATATCATAGGATCGTCGATCTATGGCTGGAAAATTGCCCTCGCGACGTTAAAATTTGTGAATTTCACTCTACAATATAATATATGTGTATATTTTATGTGTTCACGTGTGTAGTTATGCAGATCATATATGTATTATAGAAATGCATTATGGGTGCATGTATGTATATATTATTAGATATTATTGTTGGTGTGGTTGTGTATATATTCAACCTCATGTATGCTCTGTAATCACTCTGTGTGATTTTCTTACGAGCAATAAACTTCTGTCCTGTTCAAATGTCCTGAAATAGCCAAACAGACTCAGTGGAGCATGGTAGTGTGTGGATGACTATAAATCAACCCCCCCCCCCCCCCCCCCCCCTCGATCACAGACCTGTGTGGACTTAGATAAGACGCATTTGTACAAGCGCTCTTGTAATAAAGAACTCTGCGCCGATAGTTTATGCACTAGCACCGATTTAGATAGCTGGAATAGTATATGAGATTATGAAGCTCTCGTTCCGTTTAATCTCTGAAAGGGAAACAGCTTATGTGGGGTTATGACGTAGTATTTCCCAGCATGCAATAAGGCGAAAAGACAGGATCTGACAAGCAATTGAGAGGGGTTATCAAAACACGGACATTCACTGATGCAGTTATTTGTTTGTTTCAGCCGTTTGTCAATATGGCCGCGGCCTGTAAATAATCGAGTCTGGGCCAGACAATGCAGTGATAGATATCATTTGCAAAGCACCACGTCATCGGTGTATGGTGACACGTTATCATCCAAGGCCATCCGTAGCTATTAATTCATTCATTCAGGGCCATAACTATATAACGCAGGTTGAAAAAAACTAGCAGTCCCTCCACGCCAAAATAGCACTTGACTATTCGGTGCGTTGGTCTATCACAAAACCATATCTCCTGTTGCATCCGCTACGGGTTGATACGGTAATGGTAAAACGCGTGCGCTTAAACCCTGGGTTCGATTCCACACATGGTATAATTTGTGTAATAAGTTCTTGATGTCCCCACCGTGATATTGCAAAACGCAGGGTAAAGATTTGCTCTCTCACTAATATCTACCACACTGTAATATAGTTATCAGATGATTTGTATTAGATTTGATTTCCAGCGTCAGATTTTAAACTGGTATGGGTAATCTAGCCGCAAGACCCAATCCTCAATTGCACTGATGACACACGGGGGCACGGATGGCCCAGTCGTCTAAGGCGCCGCGATTTGCTGTGCAGAGTTGCGTCCCTTGGGCACGCCAGAAACCTATGATTGTGAATTCGAATCCTGGTTCGCCCCGATTATGTTTCTAGGTTTGTCAGCACCATACCCGTGCTCGTGGGTTTGACCGAAGCGGTAAACGTCTGAGACCTGCATCACTTTGGGCTTTCCTCCCACATTAAGCTGACACGCCGTGATATAACTGGAATACTGTTTAAAGCGGCGTTAAACCCAACTCACTCACTCACTCACTGATGACACACAAATAAGGTATAGATTAAGTCAGGAGGGCAATATCGCTTCATGACATGCAGTTATCTGTTAAAGTGCCTATAGGATAACAAGCCCGTCGCTGTCTTTAACCATATATATGCTGTGATGTGTTTCAGTTATAACTTAATTGGCAGTGTGACAATGAAGGACTTTTGTATGCTTGAACTTATAGGTATAAGGTTCTCACAAAGGCACATCGTGTTAATTTACTCGTACCATATTAGTTGTAAAACAAATTTGATATAAAGGAATATCAACAAAAGATAAAGAGTTAATCACTATCTAAAATGATTCGGATAGTTGTGTAATATCCTACCGCAACAAAATATGTCATCAAATGTCTAACTTTAAATATTGACGTCTCACTGTTTAACAATGGCGTGGGTATGGCGGTCTTCTCTGAAATCATTTGGACACAAACGGTAAGAAAACGATGGGGTGATACTGAATATCTCCTGAATTAGGTTTGGCTTGGTTTGTTTGTTGTTTAACGCCGCACTCAGCAATATTCCAGCTTTATGACGGTGGTCTGCAAATAATCGAGTCTGGACCAGACAATCCAGTGATTGACATCATGACCATCGATCCACACAATTATGATCGATGACATGCATCAACCAAGTCAGTGAGCCTGACCACCCGATCCCGTGAGTCGCCTCTTACGACAAGCATAGTCACCTTTTACAGCAAGCACGGGTTGCTGAAGACCTTTTCTATCCCGGATCTTCACGGGTCCCTGAATTGAGTAGGATGTGATAGTTTTTTTTATGCTAGATCGAACATTTTGTGTCATAGAAATTTGTAGTTGCATGATGACCATAACATGGACAAGTACGTTTTGTAATGTACACACGATATGTGCATCCATATGCATGTGCAGGTGCACTTGGTAAGGATAAGAATTTATGAAAGAAAAACTTCTTTATTACAATTAAGAGCGACGTTTTGGTGCAGGTTCTAACACCGTTATCAAGCAAGTGATGAGCGCCGTTTCGGTGCAGGTTCTAACACCGTTATCAAACAAGTGTTAGAACCTACACCAAAACGTCGCTCTTCATTGTTATAAAGAAGTTGTTCATCCATAAATTCTTACCCTTACTTAGTACTCAAACTTCTAAATGGCTGCACTTATTCTGTCTTTTTGTAGGGACCAGTTATCGCCATCGGAGACGGAGCGACTGTTGACGGGGTCCCGTACAAGCCTAAATGACGGGTAGGGACCTTACATTCAGTTCTACATTTTTTTCTTTTAATGTTTATGATAGAAGTACCTGTTACATAAAATGGGCTTTCCCCCAGGGTAGCAGAAAGCTCATGACTTATATCACAACTTACCAGTACATCTTAGATTTTTTTACCGAAAATAACATACGTCTTACTCACACATTCACTCTAGTATTACAAATGTACTGCATATATCCAGTATGCATAAATTATTAATGCTTATATATCATATCGCAGTGCAGGAAAGTACATGGGCTCAAACATTAAAGTCTTAAGTATAAAACTAAAATTTAAATGAAAGCTGCTACTCAGTTTCGAAAAGTTTATGATACAGCATCCAAGCCCCATCGAATTTCTCCTGATTACCTGTCTTGAAAAAAATATCACTTTTCAATTTTGTATCGTGAAAATGCTTCCTTTTTATAAACATGAAAATAAGGTTTTGTATTTTGGAATTTGCATCTAAAAATATAGAATTTTGCAATAAGTAAAAAAAGTAATAAAGTGTTTTTATGTTCTCTTTAACTCCAAAAAGTATCAATTCTGCACAAAATGCCATATTATAGACATGAACACACTATTCTATCCACACTGACACTTCCTCCCAAAATTGTTTCCTTTCTCCACAGTCCTAAAACAAGTGAGTACTTGTTTCCTTTTCATTGTGACAGAAGGGGCACGGGTCATTTTGAACATAATTCAGTATATACAGAAAAGAATAAGTGGTGAGGTTTCTGTGGGTAATTTTGTATTGAAACCAACGCAGTTTTACATCCTGTGTTGTATTGAATATTTTATTACTGATATTGTTCCAATTTAAGTTTTTAAATTGTAATTCAATCTTTTCCCGCCCTTTAGTTTTTAGCTTTGTATAAACCAATGAAAAGAAAGTTCCTGACTTGGAACTACGAATAGTATTAACCACACAGCGCTGGTCCTCCACGGAAACTGTACAGGAACCTTATAACCAAGAGATTTAAGGTGTTGTTTAATGTTTCTGATAACACCATAAAATTCTAGATAGGATGAACATATATTACATTTCATAAAATTCCTAAGATCAATTTCAGTATCTCAATGTATATATGTGCCACAATTCAATGAGGTACATGTAATTCCTACCTGTAGAATAAATGTGTATTTTTTTCCTATCATATTACCATTCTATTTTTAAATATGAGATATCTAAAGATCTGGCCAAAGACGTATATATATATATATACGTCCTTGATCTGGCAGATCTAGCAAAGAACAATGAAGAACGAGGCGTGGTATATGTAATGATAAACGACTCCCCTCGTCGTTTACTTCGTAAATAGAATAATTTCCCATCAAAACTTTTCTTTTTGAATATTTTCAAGTTTTGAGAGGAGCGTTGTTTTCTGATAATGTCTGCCTTTTCGCACATGATACAAAGAGTTACCTCCCTTATTACACTGAAGGCGGGCGAAATAAACATAAGACCACTTTGCGACGAGGTCAGGCCCGGGCACTCCCTTTGTTTCCGGACATTTTCAACAAATGACTAGTTCATCCGTCCGGTCGTATCAACACTTGATGAAGAACATGCAATCACATCGTCTGACATTTTGATAGATATTAAAAGGTAAGTCGTTTTCTTTCCGAGAAGAACAATATAAAGAGTTACAGGCCTATGTGACAAAAGGTCTTTGAGTTGACATTCAACAAGTCAACCACAAATGCTTTGTTGACATCGTTTATTTCGTTTTATTCACGGTTGGTCTATCGTGGATTCGTATATGATGCCTAGTCTACAAAATAAGACCCTGTTTGATGACGTAGATTGAGCCTATAAACCTCACAGTCACAAAGATCAACATCTGATCAAGTTTATTTGAATCAAATTCATCGTTTCATCTTCAGATGATCTTGAAATAATAATACAAAAATATGATTGAAACGTCTCCGAAGTGCTCATAAAAGAATTTGAAGTGTCATTCTAAGTCTTAAGGAGGAAATGAAGGGAGGGTCAAGTCAGCGAGCTCGACAATCTCTCTGAAGCCTATTGTAAATTTTAATGCAGCTGTCAAAGCAGTTGCCAAGACCCGCCGGGAAAGGGAGGGCGTGAAATTTGCTTACAGCAGGATATTCAAATTTGGTCGAGGTGTATAAGTGTAAATCCGACTCCACTCGGTAAATTTCAGACCCCATCAACAGTTTCATCCCGACTAATTTTGGGGTAATTCCGACCCCTTGTGCATCCAAGTGTTTTTAAAAAATAGTTATGCCACATGTAAAATGCACGTACAAACAGTTTTAATGTAATATTTTTGTGTTATTTGCTTTTCTCATATATATACCGTATTTGACGTAATAAGCGCCCAGGGCCCTCTCAAAATTAGAAATAGGGGGCTCTTATTAGAATATTATTTTGGAGTTGAAAGATAAATTTCGTGGTTTATGCTGACAGCCTGAAATGTTTATGTACGACAAATATATCTTTCCAGAATTTAATTGCCAATAATAAAGGGTGCATATAACACAGGAGTGTGTATTATAGGCGAATAGGGGAAGGAAGGAGTGCTAATTGGGATTGTTCACTAGCCAATATATTAGCAAATCTCAACGTAGGCACTTATTAGAGCGGGGCGCTTATTACGTCAAATACGGTATATATATATTATGGTTATACTGCTTTATCGAAAATACACTTGTTCAAAACTAATCAGACTAGTATAACTAGTAAAACTAGTATTCAGGATCCTCAGAAATAAATAATAACAATTCCCAAACATTACCATGATTACAGATGGAAGTTTTTGTGGACCATCATAATATCAACTGCATTAGTAGACACAATTTTATGAATAAGAACGTCTTTAATACTGTAAAAACTGAAACTATTAATTACTTTAGTTGCAAGTTGCATATTTAAATTTATTAAAAACTTTCTCCAGGAAAGACATCAGGATACATGAAATTAATCCGGTCGGAATTAAATTAAGTTCTGAAAAACGTCCGCAAAAATGTCAATAAGATCATAACTAGCAACAGCTTTTAATTCAAGTAAATAAAGTTTATTAGTTAATGGTGTCAAACAATGGTTTTCCAATGGGATTATGTGGGTGAGAAGTGGATAGGACCCAGATGTCTGATGTGGTCCTTACCTGAAAGTTTTTCATAGCAGACGTGTGAAGCAGAGGATGTGCTTAGACCACATGGTTGCCCTATCTGATTTGTTGTGAGTTCCATGCAATTTTATTGAAAGGGCTTTACCCTTCGGAACAAATAACATTCAGCAAGACAATTGGAGACAATATAACCCCCGGGGTCATTCCAATGCTAGTATTGGAATGACCCCGGGGGTTGGACTATCACCGACCTACCCTAAGTATTGTTTTGTTTTTCGGTAAGAGTCTCTTTTCTTCCCCCCACATGTTTTTTCTTTCATTATATTACCTATGCACTCACCAGTTTTATAATGAAAAAAAAAACATGTGGGGGAACACTTTCTCCTAAGTATTTACAAATTAACACCTAAAATATACAGGCCTATTTAGTAGCTGCTGCCCTTAACAGTGAATTCTCTAGGCTAGACCTGCCTTGATTCAGTCCCATGTGTGAGCAAATGTCAATATAATATTCCCAATTTGAAATTAATAAATCTAAATTCATGTTAATATATACATAATAATTACTTTTATGGCTTTGTAGAGGTAACCTGTATTTCACCGTAAACAGGGTTTGTACTTTACTAAGAAAATGTAATCCCAACTGTAACATTTGTTACATGAGACCACTTTCTAAAAGGTATTGTGTATTCGTTAACAGGAACAATAAAGAGGAAGAGGTATTAATTAATGCTTATAGTTTTTGTAAAGTTGAATACAACTATAACATGTTTTTCCCAATTTGCCTGACATGGGCACCTGGTTTAGAATCCACGTAAATTCCTTCTGTAGCTCACCAGGTTAACAGCATTTATGTTTACAATATGGATGTTTTCAGTTATTCTGGATTAAGTTCAAGGTTGATGATTGATTACCAAAAATTTACTGTTTTCAATGGTTTTTCTTTATTCACATGACAAGAAGTGAATTTGACTTACGGGATCACAAACGTTTGCCGACTTCACAAAAATTGTGGTTCGTCTCGTGATAAATAAATTGTCTTGAACCAATAACCTCTTATAACGTTTCTTCCTCTGAGTATATATTTATCAGTGGAGTAAGATATGGAGCTATATATTACACTGCACTGTACGCGGAGAGGTCGTTGTATTTTGTGATACCTGTGGTTGCGTGACTAAAAGGTTGAGAGGACATTGATAATATATTGTGGGTATGAAGTACAGATGGAAGCATGGTGTCACACTGGAATGTGTTTTCTTGTTGAATCCATCTTCCCGAGGCACGGGAGTTAACTGACTTAAAAAGTCCAGTTTCCACCCTTGCCGAACTAGGCTGGAATTACTGGGCTCGATCGTATTACAAGCTATGTCCTGTCTAAGCCTCTCCTGTCGACCAATTATATTCCACATCTCGTATCACTTGCATTTGTTTCAAACAAAATGGCGTCGCCCGGTCAAGACGATCCGATCGATAATCAAGATCTATATTATGATACAACTGGTCTTGCATCGCGAAGTGCATCAACCCAGGTGAGCACCTTAATTAAAAACATGAAAAGATTTGGAAAATATCTGTTGACAAAGAGTTGGCGGTGCACGTTTTGCAAATCCTGCAATAGACCAAAACCTGCATGACAGTTTACGAACCGGATTTCGATTTCGTTGTGAGATTTTGATTGGACTATGCATAGACTCGTTAGTCCAGCCAAAATAACTCCATTATACCCGCCTAGTTCCGCAAGGGTGGAAACTGGACTCAGTTAACTCTCTTGCCACGGGAAGATGTGTTGAATCATGCTGCACTCATCTCCAACACACTGTGACAGATTTTATGTTCGTACATGTCATTTACAGTCTGCTAGCAATGTCAACCAGTATTATGTTTCAGTACCGTAAATCCTTGAATAGACACCAAGTGGTTCATTTATGTCAGAGCTGTCTTTCATGCATCTATTCAAAGCAGGCATCTATTTTTTAATGATAGTAGTCATTATAATTTCCATGAAGATTGGATGTGCAATTTGAATAAAACGTGTGGTTTGAATTTTATATGATAGCGGTTTTCATTTCAGTGTCAATATATTGAGTACTTAAATGAATATCTATGTTTAGAGTAGGGTTAAATCCAGACTATTACAAGCAACCACACACATACATGCATACACATAGCTATAAAAGGGGCAATAATCTAGAGCATGACATTAAACCCCCCTTTCATCTCACCTTAATGTTCACTCAAAGCATGAGATTTAATCATTAATCACAACAAATACTATTCATTGCTTCACTAACAGTATCTGGCTTTGCTTCCATGTAAACACTGAATCACTAAACTGCAAAATGAAAAAAAGTGTATTTGATTTTGTTTCTTCTTTTACCAACCCTACTTGTTTGAAAACAAATAAAGATTAAACATAAAAACTGACACTTTCTCAAAACATATTTGTGCATTTAATACCAAAATTGGTGGATACCTTTTCCATGATATAACCTTGTTTTGGTCAAAATGGGTCAATATTTCAGCCATTTGGTCAAAGTCACTTTTCTGGTTCTCCTTGATTGTGTAGACCCGTGAAAATTCTTGGGTAGACTAGGTCTTCAGCAACCCATGCTTGCCGTAAAAGGTGACTATGCTTGTCGTAAAAGGCGACTAACAGGATCGGGTGGTCAGACTCGCTGACTTTGTTCATGCATGTCATCAATCCCAATTGCTTGGATCGATGCTCATAATATTAATCACTGGATTGTCTGGCCCAGACTCGATTATTTACAGACCGCCATCATATAGCTGGATTATTGCTGAGTGCGGCAACCAACCAACCAACCTTGTTAGTGTAAAACATGGTCAATCAGTGTCAGTTTGTAACGCTGTTCACTCCTTGTATATATGGACAAGTTTTACAACATCAAAGGACAAGCTTAGTCAGTGGCAAGGTCAAGGCTGCTGTAAGGGCTCTCGAGGAAAGAGGTTGCATCATTCATTGAAAGTTATTTGTCAGGATTATGCACTTTGTCTGAGTCTTAGTCATTTATGCTGTCTTAAGTTCTGCTGTGTCAAATGTCAAGGTCACAGCAAGATCTGGGTCACAGAAGCATTTATGTGAGGTCATAGATTAATCTTCATATACTTTTAGTGGTTAGATCTAATTAGCATCATGAAATGGGAAAGGCTTGCCATTCCTATGGATTTTTAGTGCTGACAAATTCTGCACACCGTTAGTAGTACACTGTATCATCTGTCCTATTTTTACATGATATTTGGGGTAAACTTATCACTGTATCAAAATATATATACCTAATTTCCTGAAACCAACACAATGGCATGATGACATTGCAAACCAAACCAAGACATGGCAAACCAAACCAAGACATGGCACCCCAGGGGTAGAAACTAACATGTTTAGTCTACCAGTCCTAACAATGATAACATTTAGCAAAACCCTTAAGAAGGGCAAATTTCTACTCAGCCTTATGATACCAAGATACAACATAACTATTGGGCAGTTTGGCAAGGACTACATGACTAGTGCCAATTTCTAATGCTGCACCCATGTTTGAAGGTGAAACTGTGACACGATGTCCTAAGTGTTGAATGTCAACACCTGATGTCCCCAGTGAATAAACTGTCAAAATGCTAGTGCAGTAACTGGGGATCATGCATGCAGGTATGCTCCATGACCCTGTCTGATGTGTTACCGTGGTTACGGGTGTTAAAGATCTGTGTCATTTCTGAAATGCTTTTGGCAGTCACACTGGTTTAAAGAATGTAACAAATTAAATGGAGGACAAGTAGCACCCCTTGATTCTGCACATTCTGCTCCTTGTTTGTTGTATAGAGGAGAAGTCATCATGAACTACAAGTACAACTTTAGAGTCAATGTACACAAAGGGAATAATGCTTCAGAGTACAATACACTCAAAGGGACTAATGCTTTAGAGTACAATGTAAACAAAGGGAATAATGCTTCAGAGTACAATACACTCAAAGGGACTAATGCTTTAGAGTACAATACACACAAAGGGAATAATGATTTAGAGTACAATACACACAAAGGGACTAATGCTTTAGAGTACAATACACACCAAGGGAATAATGCTTTAGAGTACAATACACACAAAGGAATAATGCTTCAGAGTACAATACACTCAAAGGGAATAATGTTTTAGAGTACAATATACACAAAGGGAATAATGCTTCAGAGTACAATACACACAAAGGGAATAATGCTTCAGAGTACAATACACTCAAAGGGACTAATGCTTTATAGCACAATACACAAAAAGGGAATAATGCTTTAGAGTACAATACACACAAAGGAATAATGCTTTAGAGAACAATACACACAAAGGCAATAATGCTTTATAGTACAATTCCCTCAAAGGGAATAATGCTTCATAGTACAATACACACAAAGGAATAATGCTTTAGAGTACAATGCACACAAAGGAATAATGCTTTAGAGTACAATACACACAAGGGGAATAATGCTTTAGAGTACAATGTACACAAAGGGAATAATGCTTAAGAGTACCGTATTTTCTTGAGTATAGTGCACACTTTTTTCCCACAGGTGTGTAGAAGGGGGTCTGCATTATACACGCCATAACAAGTTTTGATGTTTTTTCCCCCCAATGCAAAGACATTACCGTGAGCACGTAACACGGCAATACCATGTCAACAAATCCGTACTTGAGTACACAATGTAATCTTGTACTTACAGTGTCTGGTTATACAAAAAGTGTTCTTTGTGTATCTGGACTTGTGTTTGTAACTTATTTCATTAACTTCAAAATTCCTTTTAATATTGTTTTAATTAATTTTGGTGAAATCGAGTGTAAGCGATTGGAAGATTGAACAACTCAGAGAATGGATACTTATATCATAAATGCCATACTTTGACTCATTAAAAGTCATATTTGTTGTAGTTTGACGATTCTATATCAACATGTAGTTCTCGTGATCCCGTGCACGGGAGCCTCAACGGTGACTGGTCAAATTGTTCCATGTGAAAGAAAATAACCGACAATAGTAACGGGATCGGGTGGTCAGGCTCCCTGACTTGGTTGATACGTGTCATCGATCCCAATTGCGTGGATCGATGCTCATGATATTAATCACTTGATTCTATTATTTACAGACCGCCGTCATATAGCTGTAATATTGCTCAGCGCGGCTTTAAACAACAAACCAACCAACCAAGTAATTCAAAAGCCTTATGTACATTGTGTTGTATACATTTCAAAGTCATATCAAGGAGTTTTTTTATTATTAATCATACAGGAGTAACCTTGGACTTAGCAGATGAGTTTGACTTTGTCATTGATAAACGCTATGAGTGAGTGAGTAAGTTGGGTTTATCACCACTTTGAACAGTATTCCAGTCATATCACTGTGTATCAGCTTAATGTGGGAGGAAAACCCTCAGTGATACAGGTCCCTCAGTGATACATTTGCTGCTTTGGTGAAGCCCACGAGCAGGGCTAATGTGCTGACAAAACCTAGAAACTTAATCAGCGCCAACCAGGATTTGAACTAAATGCTATGATTGTAAGAGGTATTTGTCAAACTATCGCATGATTATTACCATTATCAGTGTTAGAAACTAACAGTTTTAGTCCACTAGTTCTTATAATGATGATATAGCAAAACCCTTAATAATGGCAATTTTCTACTAGTCCTTATAATACCTTAACTATTGGGCAGTTTGGCAAGTACTAAAGGACTAGTGCCAATTTCTATCGCTGCATTATTACAATTATATCACAATAGTGTTTTCAAATATTACAATTCAGTTGCAAAATATCGATACCTTCGATAATTGCTCTAGTATCTCCACAGGGGGCATGTAAGAGGTGCACTCTCAAAAGTCAAAAACGCTCTAACACCTTTGGTGTGGTTTAGAAACAGGACAGAACTCAAAATGATTAGTCAACTACTTTCTCAGAAGTAATCTTGAAAATAATTTATATGGGTATACTTGACAGGTTTCCTGTGAAGAAGGTGAACTGTATATATTATAATGATATTGCCGTAAGACACACGACCATAAAGCATGTCATGTCCCAATGTTTGTGGAACATGTTTGAGGTACTACAACTGTTTGTTTGTACTGGAAGGTTGAGCCGTTAATACAAACATGATGGAGTGATAGTTGACCTAGCACTTAACACTATAAACCCTACACCATATCCCACTGTAGGAGGGGTACATTATAAGGAACACTGTAATCCCCACACCATGTCACACTATAGGAGTGTAGATTAGGAACTAGATGTGAAACGATACGTCGGTGCACTGGTGCATAATGAGTGTTCCTGCGACGATATGATACATTATAAGTTTTTTTCTGTATCAATACAAGAGGATACACTTGCTTAAAGAAATTACCTACTACTTGTTTAATGACACCCTGCATTTTTATCTGTCAAATATCATGAAGTGTGATGTTATTAGGGTTTCAAGTTGCTGCTACGAACATGTCTACAGCTAGATTTACCTTTTGAACCCCTACTGAAATATTTCCAGTCAAGAAGTTTCCACGTGATTTGACGTAAATATGTGTATTACAATACGTATCGTGACCTATGTATCATGATACGTATCGTGTCATGACTTTGCTGTATCGTTTCACCCCTAATAGAAACACTGTAATCCCAACTCCATATCACACAATAGGAGGGAAGATACGGACACTATACTCCCCACACCATATCACACATAGGAGGGGTAGATAGGAACACTGTAATCCCCACACCATGCCACACTATAGGAGGGAAGATACAAACACTTTAATCCCCACACCATGTTACACTATAGGAGGGAAGATACGAACACTTTAATCCCCACACCATGCCACACTATAGGAGGGGTAGATACGAACAACTTAGTGGATTATGATTACATCTCAAGGCCTCACCTTCTCAAGAACCTTCTCTTAGGTACGGGGTATTTGAGAAGCGGAGGGTCTGAGAAGTGTTTTCAGTACTAGCTAATACATGTACTACTCAGATGTACTTGAAGTTAAAAGCATAGTTAGGCTCTGTGAAGGGACATTCTTGAAATGACATCTTAGTATTTTTAGAAGCTGTAGTTTGAATGAAAACAGAGTTAACTCATGGATTTCAACTTCTGTTCTTTAAATATGAAGTTGCATATTTACAGGTCATCCACAATGAAAGTAACTTTGGAGCTTTTGTGACAAAGTAGTGTCACCAGAAATTTGTTTGTCAGCAGTGATAAAATGTGGTTATGGTGATGTCATTTTACATTTACATCTGCGATGTCTGTATTACGTCATCCGTGTCATCAGTGTGGTGTGTAGGTCATTACTGAATAACATTGTCTGTATTGTGTGCATTGCAGCAGTAAATGATGTCAGCATGTCCACGATGACGTCAACAATGGTGTCTGCAGTGTTTTACAACAACAATGGTGTCTGCAATGTCAACAATGCCACAGAACGAGTGTGTCAGGTCTTATTACATGTGTGCCTCATATGTGCTTTTTCAGCTGGCTTATCTTTATATTGAAGTCTCTGCTGTATCACCCCATGGCTTGTTTGAAAAGAGGACTAAATTTGTCAAAAGTATTATTACAGTTAAATGGTCCTGGGGACAAATTTGCTTTGTCCCATTTATCCTGTTTCGACGATGAAAAATGAATGAAGCGATTTAGATGCCCTGTCAGTCACGAGTGCCTTGGTACACATTCTTGACACGATCACCAGCCATTATATACCATTTCCTACTTACGATCACTGAAGAGAGGTTTATCCCTGAGTTTGAATATGAATTTTGTTTTACACTGTAAGCAATTTGCCGCAATATCCTGACAATAAATAATCCAGTCAGGTCAAGCCAACTTGTAGTTGAAAGTGTGATCCATGCCATTGGGGAATGATGACATGTACCAGGTGGCACTTTGTAGCCATCCCATCCTCATTAGACAGTTCCTCACTAGACAAGCTACCCATGAAGATCCGGGGTAGAATAGGTCTTCAGCTTGCCGTAAAAGGCGACTATGCTTGTCCCTAAAGGCAACTAACAGGATCCAGCATGTAATCGTATCCCAACTGCGTTGATCAATGCTCATGATATCAATCACTGGACTGTCTGGTCCACACTCAAGAGATCAAGGCTACTACATCCCGCCTGCTTACCATCACCTTATTGCTAAATCCCTATGTCCAACCAATTAATCCACTGGCTTCAAATCTCTATCAGTCTGCTTGCTGACTCTGTGTCCATTAGAAAATTCACTGGCTTCCATTCACTGGCTTCCAATCATCCCATGTCAGCTTCCGTGGTTGTTTACCCTGTCCCATTAGTCATTCACTGGCTTCCAATCATCTTAATCAGCTCTCTGTGTCCATCAATCAATTTACTGTATAAACATTGATGTTAATAAGTATATATACCTATGTTGTTCAGCACTATCCTGAACCACTACAAACCACCCTCAATCTAAATAAGGCTCCTACTCTAGATGAAATACTAAACCCTCAAAATAAACTAGAAAACTTCAAGGCCCTAGGCGTATACCTAATCAAAACAGATCTAATTAAGCGCATCTAAAAACTTATTAATCTACCAATCCAAAATCCAATAAACATACAAACACCCACCTCACCCGGCTCCCTTAGTTCCCTCCTCCACCCACTTCGGCATTTATTCCAAATTTAAAATTCCAAAAATTCAATATAAGCAACCCCTAAAAGCCCCCTCTTGGGTTGCACACACCACTTTCACCCTTTTCGCAATACACTAAATGGCCCGTGTGCGAAATATGCTACAGTCGGAAAGCGCACGTTAAATCTCCTATATCAGTCAGTCAGTCAGCACTATCCATCACTTGCTTGATAAAGGTGTTAGGATCTGAAACATCGCACTAATTGTAATAAAGAAGTTGTTCATCCATAGAACTTGTCTTTATCATCACACCAACTTCTAAATGCCACTGAAAGAAGTTACTGTTTTGTCTGGTCCAGACTCAAATGTGTACAGTCCTCCATAATAAAGCTGAAATGTTACTCACTGAGGCCTTAAAGGGCATGAAAATTAATTCTGCAATTAAGGGGTCCTTGTCATGATCAGGTTACCCGAGTGTTTAGACTTCTAGAGTTACACGATCAGGGTTTTGTCTGGGAATTTAAACTAAGTGGGCAGGCAAACTAAGGGGGAAATTGTAACTTTGTTTTTTAAGTTTTATTGAATTAAGAGATATTTTATTATTATAATTTGTGATTGCATTCAATGCAATATTATAAAGCTAAACAATAAAATCTCTTACTATTTATTGTCCTGTTATCAGTGAAATATAAGTTAGAAGTATTATGAAAAGGATTTTTTTTTGGATTTTTTTGGTTATTCCAATTTTGGAATTCTTAATGATATTTGCTGTAGTCTTAGGGCTGAATATCAGCCTCTTAGCCGGTCTAGATAAATCTTTGGATGATTAAGGGGATCCCAGTTTCAAGCTCTGTTACTCCAGGACTAGGCTGACATTTAGTCCCAGAAATAAGTTACATCTACAAAATATATATATATTCAAAAGAATAAATAAACTCTTAATAGAGAGCAGAACAATGCTTAATTTAGAGCTGCTTCAATCTAGACTTGCCAGAGCATTCTAGACTTGAGTTTTCATTTTTGCCAAAGCTTTCTAGACTTGAGTATTTTATTTGAATTTATTCTCTTGGGTCTGAGCGACAGACTAAACCGGGCCTCTAGGACCCAATCGCAGGTTCTATTATAGTCTGTGCAAGTATTCACATCCGTGCATGCAAATATGTTTGTGTGTGCAACTACCGAATGTCCCTGACGTGGCAGAGTTGCTTTAACATGTTTAAGGTGTGCATCTTTTTAAGGAAATGCTACTATTGCCAGACAATTGCAGAATGCACAAGCTGACTATCCACCGTTACAGATAAGCAACATTAATAGTTCCTGGTGATTAGTATATTTTACCTTGCATGTCCTTCTTCCTTGACATAAACGATTATGTAACCACCACCTCACAGGTCACGCAACAGTCATGACCTTTCCTCACTATAACACCAAGTATGGGAGACACTCACAAATACATCATAGAAAACATATTATGATTATTATCTCAGGATGATTGTTTGAATTTGTTAAAGTGTATCATTATAGTTGGCCTAGATCGCTGGTCAGATGATAAACTCAAACATGCCTTATAATGAGGTCTTTTCTTTAACTGAGCGATGACAAGTGCTGCATAAGTTTCAGTTTAATGCTATTAAGTTGGATAACCGGTGAAAGTTATAAATCATATTGTGATGTTTACAATTGCAGTATGGTCATTGTTATGACCTCAGTTTTGTAGAAATGGTGTTGAGGTAGGCACACGAACATAGATAACAGCCACATTTGGTTTATTGTCTGTTGACGTGTTTTGGGGATTATTTGTTTTTTCTGATTTGGATATATGAGGTGAGAGCCGGTTCATGAAAGTCATTTGTTGACTTGACAGTGTGGGAGACAGGACAGTGTTATATTGGCAAGCATTGCTACTGGACACACCTGCATTGGTCAACAAGCTGCCCGATGTCCACTTGATTCCAGAGTAAGAGTACTAAGTACCAATGTGGTAAGCTGGTTCCTCTTGTAGAGAAAAGCCTGATTGTTGTCACACCAGCTGCACTGTTCCATTCACAAAACATGTTACAGTCTGCAGATTATTGTTGTTAGGTGACAGTGATTAAGGTAGACTTGACTTCAGCATCAGCACTTCCATCACAGCAGTGTAGAGTGTGGTGGCCATCCTTGATAGCAAGTCCAGCAGTGCAGTTACTGCAGTACCATACTCCATGTGTCCAGTGTGAATCCAGAGTGATGAGTGCATACAAAGTCAGTCATATTGGTCCTGATTTGTCCGAAGTTGAGGTCGTAATAAGTGAAATTGATGGAGAGAGTGTAGAAGATGAAGCGGGCACCTCTTCAGGAAACTGTATGACTGGATTATTTGGAAATAATTCCTGTGAAAACCTTTCCAGTTTTGGTGACCACATTTGTAGTGATTGTGGTGAAGGTGGTAGTGATATTGAACACTTCTCCATGCCCAGTGAAAACATGGCAAAAGATGATGAAAACCTTCATGAGGATGGTGAAAACATTCTGAAGACTGATGAAAACTTGCCAGAGGATGAGGAAGATAACTACAAGGATGGTGAAGACTTTCAAAATGATGGTGAAAATGTGCCAATAGATAGTGAAAATGTACTATTAGATGGTGCAATCGCTCCAATGGATTGTGAAAATGTACTAAATGATTGTAAAATTGATCCAGTAGATGGTGAAATGTGTCCAATGGGTGGTGAAAATGTACCTACGGATAGTGAAATTTGTCCAGTAGATGGTGAAATGTGTCCCATAGATGATGAAATCTGTCCAGTAGATGGTGAAATCTGTCCAGTTGATGGTGAAATCTGTCCAAAAGATGGTGAAGACTCTCCAATAGATGGTGAAATTTGTCCAATACATGGTGAAAATGTGCCAACAGATGGTGAAAACATTTCCAGTGAAGTTGAACATGTTTCCACAGATGTTGTGAACAATGAGTGTGAGGCAGACGATGAGTGTGAGGCAGACGATGAGTGTGAGACACATAAAGTTGGTGATGCCAGGCATGAAGATGAGCAGACACACCACTGTCATGACAACTGTACTTCAACATCAGCTGACAAGCAAGAACCTTCTTTGAAAAACTTCACAAATGAAAGCACTTCAGCCAATACATATTGTGAAAATATGACTAAGAAATCCACAGACATGGACGTAGAGAGTGCAAGCATCAAAATGAAAAGGAAATTTAAGGCCTGTGTCGACGACAGGCCTAATTCTGTCCAATGTGACGTTAGTAAGAAGAGGCGAATGGAGAATGTGGAAACTCCAGGAACTTGCACTCGCACCGGGAAGGAAAGTGGCAAAGATGTTAAAAGTTCTGAGAGAAAAACTAAAAAGATGAAAGTTCTGTTTGCATCTTTCAGGGGGAAGAACAAGATGTCCGATAACGGTAAGAAAGTTGTTCAGTACACTGTGGGTTGTAAACAGGATGAACATGTTCAGCCATGGTTTGCTTCTTTCATAAGATGTACTTGAAACTTGCAGCTATGTACAGGGATCAAAAGTCTGCTTTTCCCAGACCAGTAAAATTGCAGAAAGACTTTTAAAAGTGACCCTTCCTTGTGGAAAACAACTATTACTGTTAGGTTATGGTGGCAGCTCTGTAGCAAATTGTTTATGCAAACTAGTAGTCTGTCATACAGACCCTGATACAAATATATCCAATGCAGCCCATGCAAGTCTATAATGTTTGGCAAGTCTAGAATACTGCAGTATCAGGCTGAAAATGAAGAGAGTCTCTGGGCTCCTTTTTATTATATTTTTATTAAGATACTTTAACAACTGTTGTTTTTTGTAAGGTATGTTAATTTCAGAGACTAGATGTTAGTCTAGCAAACTAATGAACGTAATGAGTGAGTGATTGTTGTTTTACGTTGCCTTCAGCAATTAATTCCAGCAATATCATGGCAGTGGATGCCAGAAATGTACTTCACATATTGTTCCCATGTGGGGAGTCGAACCTGTGTCTCTGGCATGACGAGCAAACACTTTAACCACTAGGCTACAGTAAATATTAATTGCTAGCCGTGTGGTAAGGGGGTTCTTTAGTAACATATGGTAGTGCTGTTCAGTAAAACCAGCAAATTTCTGGAAACTGCTTCTGAAAACAAATAATTGAATCTGGGTGCAGCACGTTAAGAACACAGACACATCCTGCACATTATGTAACTGCTGTTTACAGAAGCAGTGATAGCTCACTTGTCAGATAAGCAAGGTTGGTTGGTTGGGTTGTTGTTTTACGCCGCACTCAGCAATATTCCAGCTATATGACAGCGGTCTGTAAATAATCCAGTCTGGACCAGACAATCCAGGGATTGATATCATCCGCATCAATCCACACATTTCGGATTGATGACATGCTTCAACCAAGTCAGCGAGCCTGACCACCCGATCCCGTTAGTCGCCTCTTACGACAAGCATAGTCGCCTTTTACGGCAAGCATGGGTTGCTGAAGACCTATTCTACCCTGGATCTTCATGGGTCCAGTTAAGCAAGGCCTAAACAGACACTGTTAAAGTCAAACAGCTGAACAAGTTGTTTACTGTTGTTTATCTGTCAGTTATATGTTACAACAAAAGCGAACTAACATAAACTGGACTGATCTTATATATACACCCCAGCATGTATTGGAAACAGAGGCTGCTCTTTACATCATTACTGGAACAAGTGACGAGTGATTAACAACACTCAGCTATATCTATGTGGTTTAAATATAGCATAAATTATAAGCGCAAAGTCTCACTTCAAGCTTAACTCACAGTAGAATACATTTCAAGATGCTTGAGTCATGATACAGTTGAGGTAATATAAGTCCCTCTTTAGCTTCATAATAGGTACCCGTGAAGATTCCGGGGTAGAATAGGTCTTCAGCAACCCATGCTTGCCGTAGAAGGTGACTACCATGATCGGGTGGTCAGGCTCGCTGACTTGGTTGATGCATGTCATCGATCCCAATTGCGTGGATCGATGCTCATGATATCAATCAATGGATTGTCTGGCCCAGACTCGATTATTTACAGACCGCCGTCATATAGCTGAAATATTGCTGAGTGTGGTGTTAAACAACAAACAAACATACAATCCTCCCTGATCAAACTGACAAGCCATGATCAAACTGAAATACTGTTCAAAGTGTTGATAAGAACAACTCACTCCATCACTATTGTTTTTTCGCCATAATCCGTGATCATCACATTATGATGTCCAATTTATCTGTTCCTTCGAGTAGCTGTAATATTTTCCTTCAGAAGTTTCTATTTCCAGCTTGAAAGCAATTACAATTTATAATCGGGGCTGGCTTATTGCAAACTTCATGAATATTACTTTTTGAATCATATTCATATCATGTTCTGTGCCAAAACGTTTGCATAGCCCAAACAAACTTGGCTTTTAGCATGATGTTTAGTACATTTTAGTGTTATCATATGAATATTATTAGCTGAGCTCACTAGACCGAACAGAATTTTACTAGACTCGGGCTTTGGACTAGTGTCTATAGTTGCAGACTGAAATCAATACAGATTAAGATGTGAATCTGTACTTGTTCATGATGTGTAGACGTGTTGGGTCATGTGTCATGCAATGTCTGAAATAACTGCCAGCCCGTGGCTAGGAACTTTTCTGTCGTGATGCTTGAAATTTTCCTGAACCTGCCCGACTGTCTTGCAGATAATTTTAAGACTGCTTACATATTTAGTTTTATTATGACTCATAGATTCCCAAGTAATTTTTGCAGTATTTCTTCTGAATCAAGACATAATTTGTCTCTTATTTTTCATGACTTTTAAACATTTATGGTGTCTGATAGGGAGAGGTATCTTTGAACATGTTGAAGATGGGCAGACGAAATTTATGGGTTTTAAAATTATTTCAAACACTGATGTCATCGTGTAATGTATCAAGTAAATTCATGACCAATACATTTGTGAATCATCAACACCCCATAAGTGAAAAGTACTTTTAGCCCTGTTGTCTTCTGTCATAACGACAGTTTTTATTTACTGCTGACAGTTTTTATTTACTGCTGTTACTCAGGTCCACTGGGGTCCCACTTGAAAACCTCCTCCGTCAACACTTATCAATGCAAGATGACAGTTTCTGCTGCATAGCCAGATAGCTTTGTGAATTACTTCTTTCGTAACTGTGTATCCAGGGTTTTACATTGACTTACAAAGCTGGGGGTCGAGGGAACTCCCACTAATTCATTTTGAGGGTTCTTGGAGGATATATGAGGATCTTTTAAAGTAATAAATTGGTGTAGTGTACTGTAAGATTTGATAATTACTTTAATTACAGGACCTGCATATTTCTTGTCAAGAATTAAGTGCAATAAATATGGATGTGCATCCCTCGGGGTATTTGTCAGCATCAATTCTAAACATTTCTGTGTACTGGACAGACTTTTCTGTGTCGTGTAAAACCCTCTATGTAAATGGCCTCTATGTAATCACTGCTGTGGGAGACATGGCCTCTATGTAATCAGTGCTGTGTGAGACATTGGCCTCTATGTAATCACTGCTGTGTGAGACATGGCCTCTATGTAATCAGTGCTGTGTGAGACATTGGCCTCTATGTTATCAGTGCTGTGTGAGACATTGGCCTCTATGTAATCACTGCTGTGTGAGACATGGCCTCTATGTAATCAGTGCTGTGTGAGACATTGGCCTCTATGTAATCACTGCTGTGTGAGACATGTCCTCTTTGTAATCACTGCTGCGTGAGACATTGGCCTCTATGTAATCACTGCTGTGTGAGACATGGCCTCTATGTAATCACTGCTGTGTGAGACATTGGCCTCTATGTAATCAGTGCTGTGTGAGACATTGGCCTCTATGTAATCAGTGCTGTGTGAGACATGGCCTCTTTGTAATCACTGCTGTGTGAGGCATTGGCCTCTATGTAATCACTGCTGTGTGAGACATGGCCTCTATGTAATCAGTGCTGTGTGAGACATTGGCCTCTATGTAATCACTGCTGTGTGAGACATGGCCTCTATGTAATCAGTGCTGTGTGAGACATGGTCTCCATGTAAACAGTGCTGTAAAAATTCTTTTTGTTCCGTAATTGTAAGCAAGTTGATTCTTTCTTATCAAAGTTCTTTGATATCTGTCATCATTTGATAAGAATCCACCTGCATTTGTGTATTTTTCAGAAACATGACAACCAAATTCAGAGGTTGTTATGAAAAGAATATAAATCTTCAAAAGGATGCATAACCAGTTTGGATGTTGTGATAAATGATGTGAAAGTATGATAATGCAGTGATAAGGTAATAACAGGCCTCCCAGATAATAGCATGGTGTGTCCTATTAGTTTAGCTGTGGCCATTACCTTGAATGGTAGGAGTAGGACATATGCAGCCAACATGAATTGATAACAGAGCACAGTCAGTATCCTGAAAAAAATACCCATTTGCTGTTACAGGGAGCAGTTAAAAAATATACTGAAAGATGAAATAGATTCAGTCTTAAACTTCATGTGCTATCAGTAATTTGATCTTGTCCCACAAAGATTTATCTGCTCAGAGGACCCCTGGTTATGCATGCAGCAATAACATTGAAGCGGTTAGATTTATGTCTGTGTCTGATGGAATTATTGCATGAACTTTCTGATTTAGTTGACAAATGCTGCTATCATTTGTGACTGTTTTTATGACTAGCATCCCATGACTCAGTGAGTATATATCATATATGCTGTTATGAATCTGCCAATAAAGAGGAGTTTATGGCTATTGCCTAGAGGCAGTTACTTAGCAGCCTTAGGATGTTTTTGTGATTTTTTATTTGGGATGGGTGTTGGAGGTTAAAAATGTATCACAATATTTTACAATGCACAAGGTCGTATTGTGATACATATCATGATATATTGTATATTTCTAAATTTTGAATTCAAAAGCAATTTGAAACACCAGTGTACGAATTTAAGGTCATAAATGGAACAAAAACAAATTGCACTATACACCATAATGAATTGTGATGTTTTTCCCCAGGCAAAGATATTACCGTGTGCACTTATCACCAGAAATACCATGTCAACAAATCTGTACTGAATCTTGTAATTACACTGTCTGGGCCAGGCTTTTTTTATTTTTAGGATTACAGATTTTTCAGCCCAAAAGTCCAGGGTTGGAGGAAAGAAAAAAAAAAAAAAAAAAAAAGCCAGATGCATTTTTTTTGTGGGGAGATTACAGATTTTTACAACCAAAGATGTAGGACAGGAGGGAAATATTTTTTGACTCCATGAAAAATTATTGTGTATTTTGCAGCACAGTCTCTCCTCAGCACAAACTTCACAAACTGAATGTCCAAATGATGATAGAGCCAACAGCATATTGAACATAATATTGCTACAAGTTCTGCTGCATTAGAGTGATTCACTTAAAATACTATA